TCGTCTGCGCTTCACACTTTGCAGCTCCCCAGCAGCTGCACTTTTGTGTGGCTGCCTCACTCGAGCGATAGTCAGTGATAGTCACTGGCGATGGTGAAATGCGCGAGCGGAGTAAACAGCTCTGACAGTCATGGGGAGTCATAGCAACGCATCATGTTGGTGGATGCGAAGGAACACGCAAGGTGAGTTGTCTGATAGCAAAGTGGGACCATGGGGAATTTTGAAGTCGAAAATACATTGTGCGATGCTCGGTAGGGGACGCAGGCCGATGAGCCACAAGGATAAGGGCCGATATGGGCCAATAAGGGAGACGGACCGCGTTCAAAATACAAATGAGAACTGTGTGCCGAGAGATTGCAAGGAGCGAGTCGACGGGAGAAACAAGAGACAATGCACGACCAAGGCGTTGGCTTCATGCAAAGCACGGATATAGGCGTTCCGCCTCAGCCAACCAAATGCAAAGTGTGCGGTACTTGCGCTGCGAACTTGCTTTATCAAGCAGTAGTAACGAGAGCTTGGTGTGAGCGGGGAGATCAAACCATGCTGCCGTGAACCTTTTGCTTTGTTGTTGACGGTTCCCGTCGAATCATCGATATGCCGCTGCTGGAGCGATATGCAGCCGTGGTGGGCCCAGCAACAGCAGCACGGTATGCCTTGGAAGAGGAGCATGAGGGTCTCAAGTAGCGGTAAACAACAACGCTCCCAAGCACCAAGGTCCAAGCCCACGCGAGCTGGATAAGTTGTGCGACATGGGAAAAATTTTCACGGACGGGGGAAATTAGCCTTCGTACCGTGTGGTGTGGGTAGTTCGAGAAGGGATCCGAGCAACAGAGTGCGGCTCTGATGGAGATGGCAGGGCCTCCCTAGCAGGTCAAGACGAGCCCAAGCGACGCGGGAAGACGTTGAATTGGTGGACCTTCCGCTGTTTCGGATGGACGCAGTCGAGCGACGGGCAGGCGTGGGCCACGACGATGGCTCAGCGTAGGGTTTGTACTATGTAGAAGGGTGGGTAGTGGTAGTGTATTGTGCCGAATGTCAAGTGTAAGAAGCCTTCGCTTGGTGAGGAGGCGGTCGAGCAAAGTGTTGCAGATCTAGGAAGCTATATGCGTGTGCGGTATGTGGACGGTCACTGCAGCAGGCCTGGCATGGCATGGTACGACTGGCATGAGGTTGTGTGGTGCGCCGGTGCCAGGAGGTGCTCGCAGCCAGCGAGCACAGGCAGCATGGGCCGTCTTACAGTATTGCATCCTCGCTGCAGCGAGCCGCGAGTCCGTCGTGCCCAACGACGGACGAGAGTACGTACGTGTTGGGCAGAGGGGAGCAAAAAGTTTGGTGCGGTGCAGGGCGCGCAGTCTGCACCATCTGACGAAGGTTCAGTTCGGCAGCAAACGAAACGCAGTGGGTGCAGTGACATTCGCGCTGCGTCGAAAGGCGATGCTGCACGGCATTGTGGCACAGCAAATGAAGGGAATCCAGTGTAGTGTAGTGGGTGGGCGCCAAGGATTACGGGTATATGGCGGGCAACATGTGTTTCCAATATTACCCTTAGCCACCCAAAACAGAACAAATATAAAACAGGCTTGGGCGCAATGCCGTTCCGCTCGCCGCAGGCATCCAGAGGGTCGTCAGGCAGCAACGCGAGAGGAAAAAAAAAGCTTACGCGCCCTGATAGAGAAGACGGGTGTGGCAGTGGCAGTGACAGTGACAGTGGGCAGACTTGGTTGAAGAGTCACAGTAGGTCCCGAAGGACGTGTGTGTGTGTGTGTGTGTGTGTGTGTGCTGGTAATAGGTAGTGGGTAGAGAGTGGGTGGTAGGAAGGTTCGGGGGCCAGTTAGCCTCCCAGCGGCGTGTGGGCAAAAATATGGACAGGCCAGGAGGCACTGCATGTCAATCTGACCCGTAGATGAGGGTAGCTATGCGGCCGGCCGGGGCCCCCCTGGCGTGCACGCTAGTCAGTGAACGGCGTGACAGGGGACGGCATTAGGGTGTAATGGGCATCCACCGTGGTCCGCGCGCGGAAAGAGCGAAAGCGGGCTCGGTCTCAAAAGCAGGCGCAGCCCGCCGTCGCTTCCTCTGTTGCGCACTCGAAATCCACCAACCCATTACCAAGCATTCCAGACGTTCCGTCTACTCTTCGATTAGGATCCGTCACACTGGATCCTTCTGGCATACTCTAGCACTTGAAAGACTCTCCACCAAATGTGCAGTAGACAGGCCCGGATTTCCCTTTTCCTCCCCTCGGTCGCTGCTCCACCACACACTACCACTTACCAACGCCAACGAAGACACACGTCTGCTTGCCACACGCCCAGGTGAAGCAGTCACCACTCGGGCTCCTCCCCCCATCGAAACTTAGCACACGGACTCGTCTCCGCGTGCTTGCCCATCGTCACCCTCACCATCGCACAGGATTTCGCAAATTCGCGACTCCAACCCCACCAACATGTACGCACCACAGTATCCGACTCCTCCCCCGGGCTACATGCCCTACGACTACCACCGCACGACGCCGCCCATGTCGCCCGGCCCCGGTGCCAGCTACTACTCGCCGCGTCACGCGCCCCAGATGGCAACCCCGCGAGGCAGCCCCAAGGTGCAAGCCCACACTCGCCGCGCATCGCACGCCGTACCACCAAACTACTCGTACCAGCCCACACCTCGTGGAGGGGCCATGCCTCAGTATGGTGCCGCAGATCCGCGCACGTATGCTACGCCGAGAGGCACCCCCGAATTTGTAAGTCATTTTGGTTACAGTCCTCCACGTCGGCATCGCCGCGACTCAGACGCCCAGCCTCTCAAGCGCAGCAATCGCGAGAGGCAGCGTCGTCCGTCGCAGTCGGCCCGCTACGTCCATACCAAAGTTGTCTATGACGACCAAGGCTTCGGCTACGAACGCGAATACGCCTATGATGACTACGAGTACCCACCGCCGCCGTACGAACAGTATGCGCGCAACGACATGTACGGACGGGATGCTGATCGATATTGTCATGATCAGGTCCCCATCTATGAGCCAGAGCCAAAGTCAAACCGCCCACGCCGCGCCTCCGCCTCGACCCGGCAGCCTGCCGCTTCCCCGAAGAAGCCCACCGCACCACCAAAGTCCAGCCCCAAGGCCACCGAAGAAGATGCGCGCCGCGCTGGCATCCCCGCCGGTTACTCGTACAAGAACTGGGACCCCACCGAGGAGCCCATCATGCTTCTCGGATCCGTCTTCGATGCCAACTCGCTCGGCAAGTGGATCTACGACTGGACCGTCTTCCACTACGGCCCCGCCACCCCCCTTGCTGAGATGGCAGGTGAGCTTTGGCTCCTCCTGATCCAGCTCGCCGGCAAAGTCAAGAGGGCCGACGAGACGATGCCCAAGATCCGCAAGAAGGAGAACCATGAAATGGTCGAGGACTTCCTCGAGAGCGGAGAGCGTCTCTGGGTCCGCTTCGCCAAGCTCCTCAAGGTGTGTGAGGACTACATGTGGAAGGCGGCCAAGAAGGAGAGCGGCCAAACCAAGCCCGTCTCCATGGGCAAGAACAGCGGCAAGGAGTTTGTCGAGTCCATCTTCGGTCGCGACCGAGAACTTGAAAAGACGGAGAAGCTCATGACGGGCATGCGCCTCTGGTCTATGCGTTTCGACGCAAACTGCGAAGACATTCTTCGCTATCCATCCGCTTAGGATTCCCTTTGTTCTATACCTGGACGCTTTGGCGCCGGCGTTTTTTGTCTTGGTATACCCTTTCCATTGCCGTCATTGCTTTGAGCATCATTTGATCTTACCGCGAGATACCCTTTCTTGCCGTTTCTAATCGTTAATCTTGCTGCATCTTCTTAGCTCTGGACGACTGTATTTGTACAACATTATTGGGTTTCACACATTGGGTGGGTCATGGGAAAAAGTTTGCTTTCTTCTATGATATCCCCCTTTCTTTCTCTTACTCTTTTCGGATTGCTATCATCAGGTTTACTTTTTGTTTTCATGCATGGTGTTCAGGTTGGGTGTCTGGTACTGGGATACCACATTGTCTTCTAGGTTGTCTACTAGATTTGGGAGATCTCTACACATTTCCATCAGCAGACGGTACCTCACGGTCAAAACTAGTATACCCGCATACCACTCTATTACTCTATCAATTTATTAGCTACTACCGAAATCTTGTCCTTGTGTACCTGCAGCCGCGTGACTCATTCTGTGACCCCCCAATCAAACCATAATTGTCGCGTTTGCACAGTCGGATAAGATAGTTTTGACGGCGACACTTGGGCCGGTAGCCCCTGCGTCGAGCACACATGGTATCTGAGACACATACTAGCCTTATCGCACCTCAGATCAGTCTCGGACACCTGCTTTTGCGTCTCCAACAATTTCACATGCTGCTACACCCTCTTTGCGCGTTTTCAGCCCCCAGGCAGCTGTTGCACTGTGACTCGTAGGCTCATCACAGTCATGTTGTGAATCAGCAGAAGGCGTTACAGCCAACCAGCGCTTGCAGGTCGGTTGCCACCAAATGATTGGCCGCGTCTGCTTATTGCTCAGCCTTACCATAGAAGAGGCGCTGCGCATACAAGTCTGCTGCATGTGCGGCGAAAGAAGCAAAGTGCTTGCTTGCTTTTGCTTTTTGCCCGTGATAGTGGCGGTGGCGGAAAGACCTGGCCACGCCAATACCGGCGGTACGATGGCATCAGCGTACCAGTACCCTTTTAACCCGGGTGCGCGAAAAATGGCGGTCATGATAGTCCGGAGCATGTGGTGCACAGGCCGTTTTGTGGTTGCCTTGTGTGGTAAAGGCTGAGGCATGGGGAAAGGAAGACTTTCCCCAAGAGCAGCTCAAAGCGTGTTGATAGAGTGTTGCGACAATGGACATGACATGTTCGTCTCGCAAGATGCTGGGCGCAACCAAAGTTGGGCAGCAATAACGAATGAGCGGACTGCTAAACGGTCCGTACGGCGAGACAAGAGAAAGTGGTTCCAGAGGCCACCTATGCGGCTCTACTTTCCGCTCCCGCCCATTTCAGCCTCCCTCCCCCTCTCCCTCCTCCCTTGGCTTGGTGCGGCGTGGAGATTAGGAGGCGTCGCAGTCCCCTGGGCCGGTTATATTGTCAGCCGCGTGTCCAGGGCATCCTTACCCGGTGGACAGGCAGCAGTTTGTTTGATGTCGCAGGCTGCATCATTGCGTTTTGCGATCGACAGGCACCGAGCAGCCCCCGCCTCCCCCCCGGAGAGGCATGAGGTTTCACAACCTGTCTTGACGGCGAATTCCAGAGACTACGGGCTTCCGCTACTGCGCACCTGGGCAACATGGCGCGTGTCACCAGCTGGAGTGTGCCCGTTAGACGGCATTGGCGTCGAGTGCATTCACTATGCAAATCGCCTAGGCTTGCAGGTACAATATCTACCTACGTACCTGGCCATGGTCCCACGACGCTTGCAGATGACCTTCCAGCGGGCGGACCCAGCAAACATGTCTACTTCAGGACTCTACTCCGTCCCAGCGGGTCGTATCTGGTGCTACGACCACTCCATGGGCGAGTACGTACCGTACTTATATAGGCAGCTCTGCCTGAAATCCCATGGGAGCGCACTCAGGAGCGGGTCCGGGGTACACTGACACCCCGTGAACTTGATTTTGCACTTGCACTTGCACTCGCACTCTACCTGCAGTTCATGCAAGCCTGGACTTCCGACACGGGCCTCGTCCCCCAACCACGGTTGGTACTGGCACTGGTCGGTGTTTCGAAACGCGTGGCCGGTGCGAAGGTGCATGAACCGTCGTCTTTGCGCACACACCCCGGCAACTCCCTCAACCAAGCAAGCGAAGCGAACTCGGCCGTCATGACGAAAGGTGCGCCCCGCCTGCACCTCGCAACTCCACCCCGTGCATTGTACCCCGCACTTGGACTCGGCGAGTACCGCCACCGCCTTTGCCTATGTCACCGTGAGGCCACTTCCAACCATCTTCCTGGCTGCTTGGGACCGAAGCAAATGTTATTATCCATACATATTATCGACATGAGGGGTACGTCGGAGACTTTGGTCACAACATCGCCGTCGGTCCATGCCGCCACATCATTCATGCTGTGTGAGCATCGAGATTCCGCCTACCTGTCTTCTTCGGAATCCGCCGAAGCCTCTCAGTCACCTGTGTGGTACGCAAGCGCTGGCTGCAGTGTGGTGAGGGCTTGTGTGGAGGGGTAGACATGGCCGACAGAGACATGCCACGTCTATGCGCCCGATGGCCTTTCCACTCCCCAACATTGACGAATGAGAGGCCCGGTCTTGGCCGTCGTGGGCGCAGTCAGCTGTGTCTCTTGTTTTGCTCTGGAGGGTGGGCTCGGGCTGCAAAAGTGTGAATGCCAACTTACTCTCCGTCTGGCGTCGTTGGCCGTGTCCACCAAAAGCGACGACATTTGCACATGTTCTTCGGCAAAGCAGGACGGCCCACGTGCAAGTTATTACTGAGATGCATGTTGGCGTCTTGCCAACGTCAAGTATTACACCCTCAGACCACAACTCGCAACATCACGGCGTCAAATACGTCACCACCATGGGTACCTACCAGTACGCATCAGTCTTGCCAGTAGCCCGACTAGCAACATCGCACCAAATCTCGATCCGGAGCAACCCATCAAACAGGTTCCATCGCTCCTCCACGTGCCTGTCCGCTGGTCTTGTCCTCAGCGCTATCACTTCGCATAAGCGCCTGCAATACCATCACCCCGCCATCAACCATTTTGCGCCCCATCATCTTCCCCTCTCTCGATAGCACTTCCAGATTCCATCAACGGATGCGCTATCGACATCGGTATCGGCAGCGTCGAAACAGACCCCTCGTATGTGCCCATCTATCCCTTATCCATTTATTCCTAGGACGTGAACTGCATGCACTGCGCATGCGAACACCCTTCTAGTCGTTTACTATTTCAAGCGTTGCCATGCAGTAGCGTTGTGTCTTCGGGGTTTTAAAGCGGCTTACGTACAGGACGTTGTATTGAACTATGCCTCATGGGGTTGTAAAGGAATTGCGTCGTGTGGTTGCACAACATGCAAGGGCGTAGTCAGCATGTTATACAGCTCGTGACCTCCTGCTTTGTGCAGCTGAGAAGCTGACAAGTTTCGTGTAGCTTCCGCATCGTTTTGCTTTATTTCGAGGACTGCAACTCACTTAGCACGAGCTGCAAACATATCCACAATCAACGGGCATCTATGAGCAAGGGGCTGCCTACATAATCGCATAATATGTCCATTGTTCATCCTGGGGACCATGGTGTTAGATATTGGCATCTTTGTTGGTAATTCCATTGTCAAAGGACAGTAGAAAGTGGCCAGGCCTCTGATAATCCACAACTATGCTAAAGTCCTCTCACTCAATCCCTACGCCTCCTCCGCTTTGACCCAAACCTTCCGCCTCGATACCATCCTCCCATGCAATACCTCAAAGACCTCCTTCCCCAAGACGGCCGCCCATGAATCTGACCGCACGATGATGTACAGAGAATACCACTCTATGGCCGCCCTCCTTCACACCCACCCCAATCACCTGGAGCAAATTCACGAAAAACGTTCCAGAAACCTACTTCTCCCTCTGCAATTTCATAACCATGGACAACGTAATGCCAGACCCTATCCAGTTCAGCCCTGAACTAGCACAACTCCACAAAACCAGTGTTTCTCCAACGGGGAAAACGGAAATCGCTACAACATTCACAGTTCGATTTGGCATCTTCATCTGTTTTCCATACCGTGATACACCAGTGTATGGCCCAATTTCACAAGCCGAGGGTTTGTCCCACTTTCTTCACTTTATGAATACTATTCCACCTCGCTGCAATCTATCCAAGTACAACGGTGAGAGACCCCATACCAAAACGTGTCCGCGTCGAAGCGGGCGCTGATATTGATTGATTAACCATCTATTATAGCCTGATGACTTCCGCGTTACATTCTGCAAGACTATGCACATGAATCCCCTTTACACTATGCAGCACTGTCTCGCAGGCGCTGCTGCTCCTCTTCGGTGAGCTGATTGAATTCCTCGGGGAAGCCCTGTGTTGTAGCAGCACGTTTGAAGAAATCGATCAAGAATCCCTGTGTCTCATCGTCGCGTTGACGACCGCTACCTCCAGGCTCTTCCGCTGCGAAAGCCATAAGTTGTTCCCTACTAAAGCCACTTCCAAGGTCGACAAATGGATTTGGTTCATCTTCCCATTCACCGTCGTCTGAGGCCTCATCGGCAAGCTCGGCGGCAGCGGCGGCGTCAAGGGGTGCACCTGAGGCTGATTGAAGCTCGACAATAAGGACCTTGAGGATCTTGAGGGGTGCAGGCACTATGGTATATTTGTCAGGATCTGATCTCAATGTCAGTGTGTGGATAAACCCGAGCGGGATTCGCAGCACTGCGTTGAGTGGTGGCGCAGCGGCCTACAAATATGCTCCACAACATGAAGATCACTGTGGAGGATCTGGAATTTTGTAGAAGACTGGCAAAACTCACTGGCTTTCGCACGACTCCTAGTCATGATTCGGCCGTCGGTATTTGGTATCAAGTCACCCTGAACTTGTACCTGCGCAACTCGAGGATCTTTTAAGTCGTATAGTTTCGATAGGGCAATGACACTAGAAGAAATGTCAGTGGTCATTCGTTGACGATTGCTGTAACCAGTGGAAGGGATTTCAACAAGTGATATCCTTCCTCTGGCCGCCTCCCCAGAAGCCTACGCAGCTCGGCTTGGTCTGCTGCATCAAATTCCAAAGACAGCGTTACGTACTTTTGCCGAATCTCGTCGTAGCCGGCGAAGTTGATCGAGTTCTCGAGCCATTTCGCCAATACGACTTGCAGACCATTCTGGCCTTCAATATCCTGACTTGCTAGGAAGTCTACGACTTCGGAAGCATGATTCAAACTCAATCGCGCAAACACAAGTGTCAGACTCTGGATGAACTGTGCCTGTTTTGCCTGAGCAAGACGAACTGCAACACTGCGCAGAAGCTGCTCCAAGTATGGTCCAAGTCGCTCATGACCGGCCTTCTCCACTACCTCGGCAGCAAGGGCACCGACTTCGCCCGCCGCATGGTCACTGCATGAAGAGAGCAGACGGGAAACAATGAACAGGGTAACCTCAAGGCCCGCTTTACCGGTATCATCACGCCATTCAAAGAGCTGTTGGTGATCATGCGAGATGATATTCTTCACCGCAGTCGTGGCAGACTTGAGCAACTCTTCGTCACTAGAGCCCAAGAGAAGTCGCGTAAGCTTCGGCATAGTCGTAGCGACAAAGCCGGCAGGAAGCGGCTCTGGACCATGTTCAGCAAGAACGGCAAGGAGATCTGCAGCAAAGTTACAGAGAGCATTCTCCTCAGTCAAACTGCCGACGTCGAAAGCACCCGTGAGTGACGGAAGGACCCTCGCACACAGCTGGACGTATGCATCTCCACCCATTCGCGCAATGGTCTCTGTTACTTCTTCAAATGCCTCGACGACCAACATTGTTAGTTGAAAGTTATTAGCTTGATGACTGGCAACCCGGAAGAGAGTATCAAGACCGTTGTCGGTAATGCAAATACGGGTGTCGATGAGAATAGCATCTCTGAGAGTCTCGACCAGGGTGATCATCAGATCGTCGCTGTCATTGAGTTCCGACATATCTTGAGCGGCGAGGTAGTTACTGATAGCCAGGATGATGGGGCTTTGGAGAGGTTGGGTAACTCCGTGTGGAAGGGCTTGGAGGTAGTATTGGAGAGCTCGAATGCAAGAAACTTGCACAACGTCCGACTCATCGGATGGAATAGCCTGTAGAGAGGCCTCAAGGAAAGATGTAGCGAGTTGTTGTAGAGCATCACCGGAAGTTCTTGTCAGGCTTCCAGCAACAAGATAGCCTCTTGCTCGAAGGAATGCATCGGGTTGTTGCATAGCATAGCGAATGAAATCCACGTAGCCACTGGCGGCCTCTGGCCCGATCTGCTTATCCACATCCTGAAAGTCGCCCAATAGCTGATTGAGAACGTAAAGCGCAGCTTCCTTGGCCTTCCAGCCCTCGGACCCGGAGTAGAGCGCCCTTGTGTATGTCAACAGACCATTGACGGTGGGTTCTGTGAGCCACTCTCCAAGCTTGATAACAAGATCACCACACGCCGTTCGAGGCGTGTAGTTGGCAGTGACACTGGTTTCCTCGCTGAGGAAGATATTTACATCAACATCCCAAAGCCCTTCCTCCTCGGTTGTGATTTGCGCATACGCCACGGCTAGCTTCATGACCTGGGTGACCCAAGAGTTCTCCGGTGTCTGGTTTTGGAGTTCCTGCTCGAGTTGTGCGCGAACTGGAGGTGCTCGCAGACAGGCCTGCATAAAGTCAAGCTCCTCAAGGATGAGAAAGTCCAGCGTATATGGCAGTCCGTCGGCGTCCTCCAGTCTACTTTGGCGGTCCTCTTGTATGTACATGAGCGAGTATGCCGACTCGAGCAAGGAGAGCTCTTGCCAAGTAGCTTGGAAGAGAATAAGACTCTGCGGTGTGAGAATGGCAGGGAAGACGGAGCGAATGCGCATAAGGACCTGTCAAATGCTTAGTATTGCGAAAGACGACATGTTGCATTCGTCTCGACCTACCTTGACTACCTGTAGCTTGAAGGCAATTTGTCCTTTGTAAAATATAGCGTTGGGCGCATCGTGTTCTTCCTCATCGAGAGAGGGCGGGTCCGGTAGCCTTGCATTCAGAACATTGATGAAGAAGGGAATCCAGTCTTTCAGCACCTCGTCGGCAAAATTCTTGACCATGGCCTTGTGATCCTCCAACACCATCTCTAGTATATCGAAGCAGCCGTGGAAAACTTTGCAAGCCAAGGCCCTCAACGTCGGCTTCCTCTGGTCATTGATGGCCACATCGTATAGTTGCTTGATCATCTGAGGCGCTATGCTGAAGAAGGTGGTCTCGTTGAACGAATCCTCGACCAGCTCGCCAAGGAGCCTGAGAGCGCCATGTAGCTGGCCATCAGTCGCGTTGGGTATCAGCGTAAGGAGAGTTTCGAGCAATTCGGGCCATTCGATGGGATAATCGGCAATTGCAATCTTGCTAACTACGAGGCCGGCCGCGGCCTTGAGCTTACGGTCGAGCTCGTCTCTTGTAGCAAGAGCGAGCAGCTGTTGCCGTAATATGGCCTTGTTTTCCTCTGTAACCAGCGCCTGTCCCTTCCATTCGTCGAGGCTGTCACTCCATCCTGCCAGTACGAGACTCTTCAGATACAGTAGGGCGGCCTGCCGGATGTTGAGAGGTACGCTGTCGTGGCAGGCGATGCCAATGAGGCCTAACGGAAGCTCCTGGTGGCCATAGAGTGAAAGAAGCTGCTGCTCAGCTTGCTTGCGGGTATCCTCTTGAGCGGTTTGGGTTGCGGACAACAGTTGGACTAGTTGGTCCTCCATGGTCAAACGTGGGGCATGCGCGTATAGAGCTTAGTCGGCACGTCTAGCGCTACCCAACACGGGTGGAAAGGAAATATACGATTGTTGACGCGTTTGTTGATGGGTGCGGCTGAGCGATCTGTCTCGTGCGAAAAAGAACGCGCCCGGAGATGCGGGGCAATTCCGTCGACTTCACCTTTGGGTAGTGGGGTGGCTAAGCGGAGGCTTTGACTGAGGCAAGCAATATGCGCAACCGACGACGGCTGAGTATCCTCAGTATAGGCTTCAATTGGAGATGGATGTAGGAATGGCAGCTGTTTTACAGTAAGGCAAGCGGCAGCCGATGACTATACGCCGCCCCTCTTCTAGATGAAGGACGCTGCTTTTTTTCCGGTCAGTGGGAGGCGCGACGGCCCCATGTTGTAAGCAAGCAAGAATCATCAACCACTCTCACGCTGTGATCCTCAACAATGCCAGGGGCAACCCGAACTGCATACGCGATACACCTGCGATACCGATCAGCTACTCTGGTACGGCTTCCGGCTTTGAGATATGCAACCACCTGGGTGACATGGAATACCTGACACCCTAGTATACAGGAATCGTTGTAGGCGCCAGACATGCCTATTAGGGATACAATCCTGGGATTTACCTACACTGTCGCTGTCAAGTACGTTCTGTCGCCCAGGTGCAACTATCGATAGCCTAGCTCGCTTGACACGCGACGAGACGCGCCTGCGTCATCGTCACCACGACCGAGTTCACGAAACACAGTACAAGGCACCGAAGCGCATACAAATCAGTGATAGCGTGACACAGCTATACTACCCGTGATGGTGCCAACCTACTTCGAAAACGTGAATCACTTCACCACCTTCCTCATAGCCTACACGCATACGCTCCTCTATCTCCGCGCCATCTACCCGCGCACCTCCTTCGTCCATTCACGCTTCCACAACACGCCCGTCTACCAATCGCGGCACCCGCTCGTTTGTGAATGGATAGCCGATGCCGTCACTGCTGTGCGCGAAGAGCTCTTGAATGGAAGCGTGTCAAGGCTCGCCATTGTGATATTCAACTACAAGGCGGGGAAGCAGGGCGCCATGGTAAATGCCAGGATAATGGAGAGGTATATGTTCGACGTCAGTACTTTTCCGGTCATCGATAAAGATGATCAGAACATGGAGATTATGTGGAAGGGCGAAGGAACACCCGACGGATCTGATGACGAAGAGGGTGACGAAGAAGGTGACGAAGAGGGCGACAAAGAGGGCGACAAAGAGGGTGACGAAGAGGGCGATGAAGAGAATAACGAAGAGAACAACAAAAAGAACAACAAAGAGGAGGAAGAAGAGGACGAAGAAGAGGACCACGAAGAGTGTGAAGAAGAGGACAACGAAGAGGATGACGACGGAGTCATGAGAGAACCAAGGGAAAAAGAACTAGATTCATATGTCGATGTCGACCTCTCTGAGCAGTTCCGCGCTGCTTTGCTTGCATTGACTAATCGCACATCAGTCCTCGCTCCTCTACCGCCGAGTTGCTCGTTCAATATTAGTATGGAGCTCAAGGATGAGAGAAACATTGATCCGCCGATTAGACATCTACAGCCCTGGATTCCAGCCCAACCTAGCTTGCAGAAGATGGGTAGAAACGAGGACGAGGCTGTCGAAGTAGGGCGACAGAAAGGCAAGGAAGGAGTCGATCTGGGCGGTGTCCGGGTAACACCAATATGTAGTGTAGAGGCTGGTGTACTCAGATTCGAGACATGGGTAGAAGAAGGCAAAGCCAAGTTTGAAAGTAGAAAAGGAAGCAGTACCAAGATAAGCTTTACCAGCTCAACGAAATAATGCTCAAACGTTCTTGGAGATGGGAATGGCTATTATCATTATGCTGACTAAGGGTATCAAGAACGCTTCGTGGATGATCCCATGTGCATATGTTCACCCTTTGCGTTAATGATGCGCTACGTGTCATGTTCTGCCTAACCCATGAACATCCTAAAATAAGAGAAGATAGTAGCGAGTTACATAGAAGACACTACCTTCGACGCGCCCTAGTAGCAAGGGCAGCTCTTCGCCGCACCCGTTCGACTAGCATTTGGGCCTCGACCCCGACCCTGGCCTCCAGTTGTAATTGACGAGCTGCCTCTTGTACACCTAGTGCCTGTTCTACTCGTAGTTGTTGAAGTCCAAGTGCTCGCTGTGCTTCTAGTGCTGCCCGCTGTGCTTCCAGTGCTTCTAGACCCTCATGCCGAATATGGTCCATGTTCATCAGCCCGAGCCGCATTTCATAAGCTTGGTTATCCAGAAGTCGAAGCGGACGTTGTCGAGCCTCATAATCTTGCACTTCTACAGGCCCAGGATTGTCTGGGCGGCCAGGAAGACGACGATTAGCTTGTCCTGCGCCAAACACGCCGGGAAGTAAGTTCCAGAGAGCATCTGCGGCTCTAGGTCTAACAAATGTGGTTAGGTGGATGATACAAATTACAATGCGGGCAAGGCGCAGCCAAATGACCGGGAAAGACTTGCGGATGCTGTCGTAGTAGTGGAGCAGCAACAAAATAGTTGGCGGGTCGAGCGGGATAGACAGGGCGGTGAAAATAGAAAGGATGGAAAGGGAAACCAAGGTCAGGTGCCGGAATGGGTGCTGGGCGGGGGTGTACGTACTGAACTGCTGGTGGGGGTTGAACTGGCGCGCCCGCCGCCTGAGGAGGCAGAGGGAAGCGTCTCAGCTCATCACCAATCATGTGATAAGGGAAGCGCTGTGCTTGAGCCAAAGCTTGACCTTTACGTGCATCTTCTGCTTGTTTGACCCGATCTGACACTTTAACCATCAGATCAGCATCAGATAGACCTGGATTGTCGGCGCGGACTTTGGCCATGGCATCTTCAGCCGCTTTTTTGACTTCCTGTTCGTGACGGTCTTCGACATTCTCATGAAGAGGACATTTTCCTGCCTGAACATCACCGAAGTGGTTGTAGTCGGTCACGTTCTTCGAACAGACGTAGCTGATTTTGAGTCAGTCAATGGGCTTACATATGTTTTGGGGATACTTACCACTGCATATTCCTGCAATGCGTGCATGCCATCTTATTGCACCCATGTTCCTTGATGAAAGGGTGCTTGCATTTGTTGCAGTGTCTTATCAGAGCTGCAGACATTGCCTCTTCAACGATGTGTCGGAGGGTGATCTGACCATCCTTCTTGAATTCTTCGCAACTGAGAGGGATGTGAGACTCTTTTTCGCAGAGTCGGCAGCTCGTTTTACCGCACTTGGCATTCTGGCAACGGAATTCCTTGTCGACCTCCACCGGAAGGCACTCCATTTTGAAATCGCAGAATGGGCACTCAGAGAGAAAGTCCAAACCTGCGGCTGCAAGGTCCTCCCGCTGCTGCAGATTCTCCAGTCGCTCAAACGTCTTGTCGCTCAGAACCTCTTGTAGTTGTCGCCGTGAGAACGTTCCATTGCAGTTCTCGACTCCAAAACATTTTGGTCTGCAGCGGGATTCCCCAAGTTGCGTCTCGATCTGCCGGCGGGGACACTCCATGCAATAGAAGTGAACTGTATCACCATTACAACTGATCATGCGGTTAAGAGGAACATCATCGAAACAGCATGCGCATTCGCCCATCTGGTTGTTCATTCGCGCTTGTTGCAGATTGACCTCCTCGGCCTCTTCTGCCTCTTGGGCCTTGCGGCGTTTAGCTGTCATGAATTAGTACTAATGGGACCTTGAGATCATGTTTGCCGTTGGACTTACCAGTCTCTAGTTCAACCTTTTTCTTTGCTGCGTGCAATTCTTTGGGTAATTGGCTGCCTTGGTTGATCAACTCAAGCTCAACGCCGCGCTTGTTGCGTGATTTTCCGTTCTTACGAAAGCTGTTCGCAACACGTCCGTAGTTGCGCACTTGCTTTTCAAGTACTCCGTAAGCTTTGAATAGTGTCTTTTGCTCTCCAAGGATGTTTGTAAGATGCCGCACGGGCACGAAGAGGAATTCGTCTTTGAGTAGTTCTGTTCTGTAAAGGGCGATGTCAGTACATGTAGGAAGACAAGGGGCAGAGAATAATGCAGAAGTGATGGGTTAACTATGCGATGCACTACTGCTATTACGGTATTGCTGAGTAGGCTCGCGCTGGCTTGTTATCGAAACACTATCATCATGACAGCCGTTTAGCAACGTGTTAGAAAGCACAGTTGAAGTTACACCTTGAATAACAGCTGCGCTGCTAGACCACAAGACGAACCAGTCACGCATTTCGCATGGCATACTTGCAGGAAATAGGTACTTACGCGTCATGTTCGTACCCACCAATCTCCGGGTCACGCTCAGCCGTCTCATAGTCGATTAAGGCGTCCTCGTCTTCATCGTCCCTCTTTCTCTTCTTGCTCTTCGCCTCTTCCGATTCCTTGGGATATGGATCGCCCTCAAGGATTTCGGTGAGAAGATGTTCACATCGAGCCATTGTTCGCGTGGCGTCTGTCGTCTTCTCATGTATCAACTGGAGGACATAATCCGCTGAGATATCTGGCAACACACTCAGAACCAGCTGTAAACAACCTGCCCCGGTAACCAATGCATCAGCGTCATTCCAGTCAGGCGCTTGTGCATTCGGCTGCGGTGGCTCATCATCATCTACCACAATAGGATCCGATGGCGGGACGTCAATGTCTGGAATACCAGTCAAATCGATCAACTCGTGGCCATGTTCGTATAACTGTGCGTGAAGGTTTCCTAGAGGCTCCTCCAGATCTGGGTACTCATCCGCAAAGTCTACATCAGATTGTGCGTCGAAGAAGTCTAGCTCATGCCTTGCGAAGCCCTCGTCTTCAGACTCACTATCGGAGAGTAGATCGATGACTTCATGCTCGATGTTGATACCAGGTCGCGCCATTGAATTGGCTTTACTACTGCTGACTCTTTTAGGGGATGTCGAGCGTTGTGCAGGGTCGTGGCAGTGGAAAGGCTGTGTTGGCAATATGGCGACCACGGACTTTGTGTCGAGACTGCACTGAGAGCGATTGACTGTAAGTGGTGTTGAGTGTGCCAGTTGCGACGGAGGCAATAAACATTAATACGAATCTAGTTGGCCAAACGGAAAAGTGGAAAGGCCACAAAAGGCGCGCAAGCGCGTGGGTTGACGTGAACCGGACCAGCTCAATTCACGTGTTGCAGCCTTGTCCACTCACCCAGTCTACTCTCTGCGGGCTTTTACGGACCGGCGGATCCTAGCTGTCGAAGAAGAAGCAGAGCAAAGGACAGGAGTGACAGTGGCGTTGTGCTGCAGGTCACGGCGACGAGTATGTTACAAAGTGCGTGAGCCCGCGTGTCGGAACCGCGTGCGGAACGGGCAATGGCGTCGCGCAGTGAGTGAGAGAGCGGAGCTGCAGCTGTTCCACAACACCACATATCAACCAAAAGTCCAACTGCAGAGCCGTCAGCCTTCAGAACAGAGTCCGCATGTCGTGCCGAAGGAATGCTAGGCCGCTTTTAGGGCTGGAGACGAGCGTCTCGCCGACAACGACGGGATAGTTCGTTGGTTCCGCTAACTAGCGTTCATCCACCACTAACCAGTTTGTCACGACCCCGGAGGCCTGCGCACCCGTCGCACAGCTATGGAGAAAAACAACAGTTGTGATATGCCACTTGGGAACATTACCGATGGTCATGAGAAGTGGGTGGGTCATGATACGCGGAAGTTGTGCCTTGCTGCCTGGCCTCATGCATGATATGAGGCTACTCGCCTGTTGGACACCCGCACATGACGCATGGTGAGCACCTGAAACCTTGCTCGCTTTCCCACGGCATATCTCGGGCCGCGACCGTCGCGATGTAGTCCTGAAGTGCCTTTGTGGGGAGACGGGGTCACCTATAAGAGACCGGGGCAGTTCGCAGGGTGGAGTAACGAGGGGCCTGTTAGACAACAAAGAGATGTAGGTATTGACTGCATTTCTATACCTACTCTGTTTCTTATCACTGGCAAGCGACATGGACTAACTATCGTACGTAGCCCTGACCCACTCTCTGCTCTTCATTGCATCGACCTTACTACTTGATCTGGAAATACCGTAAGCCAAGTATATGTCCGCCACGCCCTACGACAAGTGTTAAACTACAAGTCAATTCTACAAGAGTGGCGCTGCACCCCAACCAAAGTCCAATTTCCAGACAGCAATCATGGCTATATCCGAGCTCAAAAAGGGCGATGCTCCTTCTCTGGCACTTGTTCATCCCACCGAAGCCGAAAAGCAGATCCAATTCAACCTCAATGGAGCCGAATGGTGCGGCGCTCTCACACTCCCAGCCTATATTCGGCGTGAAGCCCACCTTGCCCAGACCACTTTGACTCGCGACGGTGGGATCTCATACTGGATGTTGGTGGACACCTCATTGCCCAACAATCCTTTCGACCCCAAGTCCGGCACAAGGCTACCATTGGCAAGCTGCGAAACCTACCGGAAGAAGGCACTTGTGTGGCAGAATGGTGTTCTCAAAGAAGTCATCTGTCATGGTGTTGGCAGTGTGTACTGCGCGAACCATTTGCGGAAACGCGGATATGCACAGAGGATGATAACGGAGCTATCAAAGGTGATTAGAACGTACCAGACAGAGGAGGGGCTCGAGTGCATGTTCTCGGTGCTATACTCTGACATTGGAAAAGTGAGCAATCCTACTGCACTATTGCCTGTTGCTAACAGAAATAGAAATTTTACAAAAGCTTTGGTTGGGAGCCGTTCACCTCATCACACATATCTCTCCCTCTCACCACAGCCCAGGACACAAGCTGTCTACCGGTCGCCCGACCATTGTACGCAGAAGACTTGGAGGAGCTTTGCAGTACCGACATCGCCTCTCTCCGGCAGAGCCTAAAGTCGCGACCAAAGGGTAGCAAGACGGCTGTCGCTCTAATCCCCAATCTCGAGACCATACAATGGCACCACGCTCGCGAGGAGTTTGTGGGAAATGAGCTACATGGTAAGAGACCGAAGATAAAGGGAGCAATTGTCGGTACAGAGAAGGGCAAGCGCATTTGGTGTTACTGGACGCGCATGTGGTACAACCCGAACCCCGCTGAAACAAAGGGCAACACACTTCACATTCTGCGGTTGGTCGTTGAGGACAATGGCGGAGAAGGTTCTTCGAATGACATGGCTAATGGTTCGGGCAACGGTCAAGAAGCTGCTATTGCCGCCTTGATGGCCATGGCGCAGCGTGAGGCTCAGGCGTGGAAGATGGAGCATGTGGAGATGTGGGCACCCACGCCAGTCGCGCTGGCCGCAGCTAAGAAGCTAGACCCAGATGTCCAGGTCGTCCACAGGGATGTTGAGAGCATCGCATGCCTGCAATGGTTTCCGGAGCATGATGGTTCTGCTGCTGACGAGATTGAGTGGATTGGAATTGAAAAGTACGTGTGGTGTTGAGCGCCGCACGAGTGTTAGCCATGCTACCAAGGTGCGATTAGATGTAGACACAGAAATCGATACCGTCTATCATGAAGGGGCCGCAGAACCATTGATCGCGTGCTTGTCACCGTGAACGTTTCATGCCCTGCGTTCTCGTTTGGTGGATTTGAAGTTGAAAATTTCTTCCTCAACCGACTGGCATGCCAGAAGGGTTAATGAAAAAAAAAGGCCTGTCAGATTGCCATCAACATCCTGCCTTCCAGTGCGACCGAAGTCGCAACCAGTCAGCTGAAGATCATCGCCACGCTCGCCGAAGCAATCGTAATAAGGCCTCACTCCGGGATATCGAAGCTGAAAGTCATCAACCAGGATTAGGATTCTGTGGCTACTTAGAGTAACTCAGAAGAGGATGCATACTAAAGAAATGATTCTATGAAGTCTGCGCGCTGTTAGCATGGCTGTAAAATGTAGGGGGGACTGGGGGGACTTGCATGATCGTATGAAGAAGAGAAATTGGGGGCGGCGACGCTGCAGCTTTTATCTCGAGTGTGAGCGCGCCAAGACGCTAGACGCACAGACGTAAAAGTGCAAACTTTGCGGCTCTGTGCGGTTGGCAGCGAAAATTTGCTTCCGGGGTTCTACCGGACCCGCAGTACTGCCGGGCAGGTACCGGTACGCCGAGCACAACTCGTAGTAGGTGGTTATTCACTGCGCCATGTGGTTGTGCACTACATCATTGCGTTTACAGGCAGCTTTCAAGCTCAGCATGTTCTTTATTCGGTAGTCGCAATGCTTGGATTATCGGATTATACGTGGCATACATGGTGGAAAGCCTCCACGGTATGTTAAAAAGATACAAATCGACTGGCTCATAGTAGAGCCTGAATGTGTTCATCGTACTCTACGTCCAACGACTATCACGAGCCTCGCCGATATCCAGCGCTGTTGGAGTCTCGAATGGTATGGACCGGCGAACGTCCCACTTCAACATCACCACCATGACGCATGTCACGAAGCTCGAGGCGCAAAGAGGTACGCTGCTTGCGCCGATGGTGGAGCCTGAATGACCTCGGCGTACCTTTACTTTCACAAGATTGAGAAAGTTGCCGATTGAACACGACATTTTACCGGACGAGTATGTATACTCTGAGCGCAGAAATGCAGCATTGGCTACTCATCCAGAATTTTGGTTGTCAAGGTGGGTTTGTGGATTTGTACCAGACTGACCAGCCAACCGGAGTATGTAATACTGGGCTGTATGATTCCACGGTAACGGAGCTCCCAACTAAACCTCCGCTTTTGTGTAGCCTGTATGGTCTCACAGTACTTTCGTTACACACACATTACGATGATACGTTGAAGTACGACTACCTCTACCATGGGCATGGCGTGTATGCAATATCAAGTCATAGTACTCTTCTGGCACATGTCTGGTTCATTTCGTTGAATGGACACATCAGCTTTCGTTTGGACTTTATCTGAGGATCTTGGCCGCCGTGTCCAAATCTAAGGTCCCTCGCAATTCAATGTGCAGACAAGGCTTGATGCATGTTGTTGCTATAAGTTCTCAGACTTGCTGGATGTCACCAAGTCTTGTCTATCTCTAGTGACTCACGGCAACGACAACACCAAAACCAAAATCGAAAGTAAAACTAAGATATTCTTGCTACGATGCTGGCACACCTGGGCATGTATCTTTCATGGAAATCAATTAACTAGCGCTAAAATGCAATGCTCTTCGTCTCTTTTCCTAGCATATTGAGGTCATCACTCGGGAACGATACCCGTGATGCTATGTCTAGGTGGCTAGAGACATTCGATCATGAAACCCAAGAACGACTCTATTACATCTGACTACTTGCGTCACTGCAAGTCGCGAGCATGGACGAACGGCGTGTGTAGGGCCGACATCGCCGCATGCAGGAACAGCGGCCTGGCGGGGTCCGATGTTCGCGGAGCAGCAGAGCACTCCGTTGAGTCCGGCACTCCGATTGACTCCAACACTGCGCTGAAGACCTCATCATCTTATTCAGTTGGCAGATATTCTGTATGAGTTTGTAAGGATGCTACCGTTCAACAAGCAGGCGTGTAAGCCCACGTGAATGTGTGCTAGATTGTGGGAGGTAAAAACGTAGTTACTTGAGTCACGAGCGATCCCGGAGCTTACTATATAACATTTTCCCCACGGGGACCATTGCCTCACGTTGTTGTCGATACACACCAACGCCTCACTATTCCTTGGTATCACTTGCTGTCACGTATAATATTGGATAGCAGTACACGTCATGTCTTCGCACACAGCATCGCAACGGTACCTGAGTACCCGGGGAGGATCTTATGATGTAGGAAGACCGGGCGCATTGAAGCCTCGACAGACGCCAATCACATGCTGACGCAGTACAGTTCTCTTTCGAAGACGTTGTTCTTAAGGGCCTGGCGTCAGACGGCGGCCTCTTCATCCCCGAAGAAATCCCTACGCTGCCTGACGACTGGGCGTCCAAGTGGAAAGACCTCTCGTTCGAAGACCTCGCATTCGAAATCTTCTCCCTCTACATCTCATCGTCCGAGATCCCCTCCGCAGACCTCAAAGACATCATTCATCGCAGTTACTCCACATTCCGCGCCAAGGACGTTGCGCCCACCGTTCCGCTCGACCCGAAGAAGAACATACACTTGCTAGAGTTGTTCCACGGACCAACATTCGCTTTCAAGGATGTCGCGTTGCAATTCTTGGGTAACCTGTTCGAGTACTTTCTCGTCCGCAAGAATGAGGGCAAGACCGGACGAGACAGGGAGCATCTGACCGTCATCGGCGCAACAAGTGGTGACACCGGCTCAGCAGCCATCTACGGTCTACGTGGGAAGAAGGATGTGTCTGTCTTTATCATGTTCCCGCATGGCAAGGTCAGCCCGATCCAGGAGGCGCAGATGACGACGGTCATGGATGCCAATGTGCACAACTTGGCCGTGGACGGCACATTCGACGATTGCCAGGTATGCATAGATCGGACATCATGACGGAATCCTACTAACATATCCAGGACTTTTTAAAAGAACTCTTTGCCGACCCAGACATCAACGGGACGCACCGTCTCGCCGCCGTAAACTCCATCAACTGGGCGCGTATCCTTGCGCAGATCACATACTATTTCTACTCCTACTTCAGCCTCGTCAAGAGCGAGTCTTTCCTCCCAGCCTCCGCTGTTCGCTTCGTCGTACCTACGGGAAACTTCGGCGATATTCTTGCCGGCTTCTTTGCAAAGCGCATGGGCCTGCCGGTTGAGAAGCTGGTCATAGCCACAAACGCAAACGACATTCTGCAACGCTTCTGGGAATCCGGCAAGTACGAGAAGCACGCTGTGCACGGTGCGCAAGCTGAAGGCGGGATTCCCGAAGATGGTGCCAAGGCACACGCGAGCGGAGTCAAGGAAACGTTGAGTCCGGCAATGGACGTTCTTGTGGCGTCCAATTTTGAAAGACTGCTCTGGTTCCTGTCGTACGATGTATACAGCTCAAACTCTGACGCAGTATCACAACGAAGGAGTCAGGCGGGTGACCACGTACGGAATTGGCTCAACGACTTAAAGTCAAAGGGCGGCTTTTCGGTCGATAAGCAGATTCTGGAAGCAGCACAGGCCGACTTTGTATCGTATCGTGTCAGCGACGAGGAGACCATCGACACCATCAAGTACGTGTTCAACGCAGAGTCATCAAAGAGCTACGTCCTGGACCCCCACTCTGCCATTGGCATTGCAGCAACGCTTCGTTCAGTTGAGGTAGCGAAGCCTCCACCTACACATCATATCGCGCTTGCGACGGCACACCCAGCCAAGTTTGCGAATGCGGTAGAACTCGCACTCCCAGAGCACAAGGAGTACTTCCATGAGAAGGTCTTGCCTGTTGAGTTCAAGGGACTCGAGGACAAGCCACGTAGAGTAAGCCACGTCAAGAAGTCGGAAGGCTTTGAAGGCATACGCAAGGTTGTTGTTGCGGAAGTAGAAGCAGAACGACAAGCCGCGGAAAATGGTGCATAGTATACGGTGAGGAAGGATCAGAGTACGTTTTCGTCGCTTTGGCGTGGATCAAAAGGCTATAATCAACAATCTCCTTTGGGACTCCGCATTCGGAGAGAAAGCACACATGCATAGATAGAGGGTATCAAATCCATACCAACACACTTACTTTTTCTCACTCTTCGCATCCCCATCCCGTTCCTTGACCATATCCGTTGCAAACTCCAATCCAGCCCTCCTCCTCACAACACCGAATACACTACTACTATCACACCGTCTGCCCTTGTCTTCCCCATACTTCCTAGCCTCCTCCGCTGCCTCAAGATACATCTCCCCAATCCCCAACCTCATCCCTTGCTCCCTCGCAATCCCCACCCCATGTCCTACATCCTTAATTCCCAGCTCTAATCTCGACGTCGGCACTTCTCCCTTGGGCGGATAATACGCACCACCCGTAAGCCTCTTACTAACACCCAGCGCATAGTCTCCGAAATTCTGCGCCACAAGATCCTCCAGCACCGCAGCCGGCAGCCCTGTTCTAGCAGCCAATGTATGCGCTTCACTGAGCAACATCATCAGACCTGCGGTAATCAAGTTACTCGTTGTTTTCAGCAGTAGGGCTTGTGAGGGCTCTGGGCCAACTCGTATTACGCTGCGCGCTATCACGCCGGTTAGGAAGGGGGAGACGAGGTCAATGGCGGTAGGTGGACCTGCGATGGCGATGAGGAGGTTTCCGGATACGGCAAGGGGTGTGGCCCCGAAGACGGGGGAGGAGAGGTATGTTACTTTTACTTTTGAAAGTTGCTGGACTATGGATGATGAGGTGGACGGGTGGACGGTGGTGGTGTCTAGGATTATTTTGCCATCCAGAGTAGGGTTGCTGGCGAGGAGTGTGGTTACTATGGATTGGAGGACGGTGTCGTCGCTGACCTTTTGGTAGCGTTGGTATGTTGTCTGTTTTCATGTAGGGACGAGGGATGATGAATTTCTTACAGAGATGAAGATTATATCGCACTGTTGAAATAAATCCACGATAGAGGAACTTGGGACGGCACCGTTGACTTTTAGCGTGTCGCCCCGAGAGAGAGTGCGGTTCCAGTATTTTAGGGGTGGGAGGATTTGTTGGGTTATGTAGTTTTGCATGTTGGTTGCCATTGCGAGACCCATTGATCCCAGACCAATCCATCCTAGTCGTAGTTCTTTGGGCAAACTCATTTTGGGAAACTGTTGGATATGGAGTAGTTGACAGGATGTACAATAAAGATGTGAAGACGTGCAAACGTGACTCAACACTTTGTAGCCTATACACGAATCAAGCATGCATTGCACTAGCGTGAATTAGGTAAGTGAATAACCGGATATTCAAGGAAATATGGTGTTTGTGAGAAGACGTTACAGCAGTCAGTCATGGTTTTAGGCGCACGTGAAATAGTCAATGGCTCCGCATAGGACTTGTCCATTTTTCGAAATGATGAAACTAGTTGATGATACATGTGTGAAGATAGATCAAACTCCGGGCTATGCTAACACCCAATCACCAGATCGGGTCTTTTCTTTGTCTGAATTGTCAGTGCTAGATGGTGAATCCTACTCTTCATCTTCGTCGTCGTCAACCACACGTCTCCGCTTCGTACGACTGACCACAACGTCGTCATCGTCGTCATCGTCTGCTGCTGCTGCTGCACCGCCCCTTCCCCTCTTCGGACTGGCCCTGATGCCTTCATCTGGGTCATCGTCGTCGTCAACGATCTCTGGTTCCTCGTCACTAGCAGCGATGAAGTCATCCTCCTCGTCATAGTCATCCTCGCGGTTCCTTCTCGGACCACCGTAGTCTTCGTCATCGCTCCAATCACGCCGTAAGCCTCCCTTCTTTGCTTGTTGTTTTCGGGCTGGACGGTCTTCCAGTCCATCGATATCGAGACCACCTGCGCCGCGACCGCCCGTTCGACCCATGGTGCGATTTGCACGTTCGGCCTGGCGCGCTTCGTGCTTCTCGCGGGCGCGCAGTTGTCGCTGCTTCTCTTTGAATGTGGCTTCTTCGCGCTGGCGGCGGAGCTCTGGGTCCTCGTCCACGTTGATGAAGGATATGGCTTGGTCGGCCTCGTCGCGGCCCTTTGACGCAACCTTGGCAAGGTCATTCTGTAACTTTTCCAGGGCGGCGTCTTTTGTGTTCGCGGCGGGTACAACGCTGAGATGTGCGGTAAGCTTGTTAGTAACACGCATGACGTTTGCTTCCTCATATGGCGCGACCAGGTATGTGTAGCTCTCCTTCTTGGAACTCTTCTTGGCACCGTTCTTGTCCTCTTTGATAGCCGTCGGCGTAGGTATCTTCGGGTTAATCTGCGGCGGGGCTAAGGTGGTTGCGTCAATGTCGTATTGGACGGTTGGGTCGCTCGCAAGTTGGAGAGTAAGGGAGCCGTCTGACCACCTCAGAATGCGCGCGTTGGACTGCAAAAGGGCATTGTTAGAGGGCGAGCGCCGCCATCGGACAGTAGTCATGGCAGTGTGATAGGCGGAGAAGTGTTCGGAGGCAGAAACCTTGGAGTGGTGGTCGGTGGTGGGCGGTTGGAATGTCTTGTGATCAAACGCCTTGTCTTCGAATGAGAGAAAGCGCGGGACTTTGAGCAGATAGAGCTCGTTGTCGGTGGGCTCGGGAATGGCATGTCGCGCGAGGTCTGCGTCCATATACGCAAACGTCTGCTGCTCAGTCTCCTCCAGAGCTTCTGGTGCTCTGACACGGTCTGTCCGTCCCTCATCGTCGCCCGAATCAAGCTCGGCATCGTCTAGCTTGCGGCTCTCCTCACTAAAACACGTCAGTTGGCTACCAGGTATTGCAATCAATATATAAGCGACGTACGCGGGCGCATCGTCTGCTACGTCGCCGTCGCCAAA